TCAGACATTTAGTTGGAAGAATTTTTGCTTATCACTTAGACCTTCTCAGCATTAATGGCTAAGTCCCGTCCCAAACTGGAAATCTGTGGACCATCGCGCTAAAAGCAGCAAAATGCTGGCGGTGTGCCTCACAAGAGCCATTATAGCTCTGGTTTTCTTCCCCCCCCCCTTAAATCAACAATCCATGTTGACAGCAAATCTGTACAGAGAACCTATTAAAAGAAATTGTAGCAAATCAGAGATGCTTTAACTGTCTGTCTGCCATCCTGCTGATTGCATGCCTGACACCTCCACTGTAGCTTCCTTTTGTACAACTTTCCATTTGATTCAATTCCACGGATAATTATTGAGTCTTGACTACGTTGCAAGGCAATGCATTGGGGGCCTCATTCCAGCTGCATCTTCTAGGCCCAGAGCATAATTTAACTTACGGGCAAAAGTAAACACACACAACAGAAGCACAGAGTAATAGAGGCCAGAAACCGTACAGGCTATTTCAAACATGATAACATTTTACCCATGTGAGCGAGTGTGGGATAGCTGGTACCATGCACTCATTCACTTGCTTAAATAGTCATTTAACATTCCAGCTCAGCAAGTTCCCTGGGCCAGGCCTGTGCTGGGTCCTGGGGTCAGATGGTGAATAAGACCTAGCGTAGGGTACAGCACGGTACCCTGTGGGAGCCAAAGAAATATCACTTAACTCATTGGGAAGAGGAAATCAAGGAGGGCTTCTCAAAGGAGATACTTCATTTGCTTCTTAAACAAGAAGTATGAGATCACCAGGTGAAGAGGTAGCAAGAGATACAAAAGAGCTGGAGACGTGAGAACAGGCACGTTTTAGGGGAGACTGCTAGAGAATCATGGGTCTGTGGGGTGTCAGGGTTAAACCAAGGGCCAGAACATACAAAGTGTGGATTTAATCCTAAAAGCAATGGGGAGCCACTGAAGGATAAGAAAAGTAGAATTCTGCAAGTTTGCAGGAAGGCTGGGGAAAGGTTCCCTAGTGGACCCATCTGAGCGGAAGACTTCCTGAGATGGGATGAGCACAGGACAAGGTAACCTGAGCTGGCCTGAACCCTGGCCAATTCAAGGGAGATTTTGGTTAATCCCAGTTCCCTCTTAACTTTCTTTCCTTCTAGAATGGGAATCATAATACTTGGCTCACAGGTTTGTAATGAAGCGTAGATAACATAACACACACACATTGCCCAGCCTAGCAGGACATGCCTTAGTAAGTAAGCTTCAGTACCTGTCGGTCTACCCTTCCTCACGTTTCCCACCATGTGCTCTAGTAATGCATATCAGCACGGAGAGAGAGGGCTGCTCAGAGATGACCTAATAAAACAAGAATGACTTTGGCAAGCCAACAGAGATCAAAAATAAAGTTGGAGGAGGCTAAGAAATTATGATCTATGCCCCTTTCTTAGGTTTCAAACAGATGAAAAGAGACAGGGTAGTGAAAGAAATTTTTTAAAAGGCCCATGAAATGCTTTATAAAATGCTTTACATTTTGGAGCAAGTGGCATGGTGAAAAGTACCCAGACAGGTTGGAGAAGGGATATTTTATGGGTGTTATGGAGGCTGAAAGGTGGGTACTGGAGGAAGGTGGGTACTGTATGGAGATGGCATCGAGGGTGACAGCGGTGGCGGTTTTAATGGAAGTGGTGTTGATAGTGGTGACTGTGGTTTAGATAAATTTTTAGAGGTAGGAAAAAATGGTCCTCAATATCC